CTCTCAGAGTGGTGAGCAGGCATTTCGGCAGCATAACGGCAACAACAACAACTGTTGTCGTTTCAGATAAATGGCAGCATTTATCTGAAACGGCAACAGTTTTGTCGTGGCCTGGGCCTGGACCCACCGCCCTCCCCACACTGCCCATTGCCCACACGATGCCCCCCACTCACTGGCACCGAAACAGGGCCAAAATGGCCTACCAGGCCTTTTTTTTTTTTTCTGTTTTTTTTTTTTTTGCGCCGCGCCGAAGGTCGGACACCCAAAAAAAAAATATGGGCGTGTAGGGCTTTTCCAGCCCTACACGCCCATATTTTTTTCTTTTTTTTACACGTAAAAAATGGGGAAAAAAAATACTGCACCAAACTCGGCAGGTCGGCCTAGGCCGAACCGGGCCGATTCGGTCATCGGCCTAGGCCGAGGCCGACTCGGACCCCCCGGCCGCGGCCGGACGTGCAACATAGATCCCAAACTAGCTCGCGTCCGTAGTAACCACGAACGTGGTTGGGATCCGCAATGCGGAGCACAGGATGACTCAACAATGCCTCTTTCAAGGCTTGGAACGCAGTCTCACATTTCTCACACCACGCATAGGCAACATTCTTACTTGTTAGTCTCGAGAGTGGGTGAGCAATGACATAAAATTTGAAAAAAAACTTCCGATAATACGAGGCCAAACCCAGAAAAGAACGCAGTTCGTGTACGTTTGCCGGTTGAGGCCACTTTTGTATGACCTCAACCTTGGTTGCCTCCGGCTCAAGGCCGTTTGCAGACAACCGGTGCCCGAGATAGATGACGATGTCCCTTCCAAACTCATATTTCTCTAAGTTGAGGTGCAGTTGTGCCTCCTTGAGGACCTGCAAAACCTCCTCAAGGTGCTTGACGTGCTCTTCCATGGACTTGCGGAAAATCAGGATGTCATCGAGGTAAACAACAACAAACCTGTTAAGCTGATGACGAAGAACCTTGTCCATGAGGCACTGACATGTGGCTGGTGCATTCGTAAGACCGAAGGGCATAACGATGAATTCGTATAGCCCATCGCGTGTTTTGAATGCAGTTTTGTACTGGTCACTTGGATCAACTTCAATCTGGTGGTAGCCAAACTTGAGGTCGATCTTGGAGAAGACCTTGCACCCACCTACCGCATCTAGCAGATCATCTATGCGAGGCAAATGATAAGCATTCTTTCTGGTGATCCGATTCAGGCCACGATAGTCAATACACATCCGGAGTTTGCCTCCTTTCTTCGGTACAAACAAGACAGGTGCACCGAACTTAGACTCACTAGGCCTAATCCATCCACGATCGAGCATGTCATCAATTTGTCTCCTCAACTTCTCCAACTCGCCTTGTCCCATACGGTAGACGCAGCCCTTTGGAGGAACACTCTCTTCTATTATCTCGATCTTGTGTTTGACCGGACGCTCGGGAACTCCACGAGGATCGGCCAAAACTTCAGGGAATCGATCTAATAGACGGCGAATGTTTGTTGGGACTTCCGGTGGAGGATCATCCTCATCAGGAGAAAGAAAATCAGATCGAGAATTTACAACAATTACAACTGGATTTGAAGTACTTGGATCAGAAGTAGAGTGATTATTCACAATAGAAGTAGATGGAATAAAAGTAGAGGCGGTAGAAGTAGATTTACTTTCCTAGGTAGAAAATACAGCGAAGTAGAAGGCACATGGAGAGGCTTTACAAGAGCTACATGTACATGCTCAGCTTCCTTGCGCGTGGGCACTGATTTGCAGAATTTGTTCGCACTCAAAAGAGTCACAGGGGACTCGCGCGTTTCGTCCAATTGAACAGTGCGCTCGTTCCCCTTGGCATCACGCACCACGAACTGATTATCCGCCCACGTGGTCCTTAGGCAATGAGCCTTTAACCATCCCAAACCAATGACCGCGTCGAACAGACACTTGTCCATGACATAAAAGTTCAGCTCATGTGTGACAGTGCGATCCTTGTCAAAAGTGACGCGCACACCTTTGACAGCATGTGTTGAGGTGACAACCTCTTGGTTGCCCACCTGGGTCTAACAAGGGTTCTGCAACTCCACTTGCTTCATTCCAAGGCCCGCCTTACGAATCCCATTAGGAGAAAAGAAGTTAGCCATTGAGCCACTATCAATCAGCACACGGATGTATCGGTGGTTAATGAGTAACTTAAAGAAGGTTAGCTCCACACTCCCTTGAACACGGCGTTGTTGCTTGAGCTGCAGCCAATGTTCCAGGTGAGAGTGGAAGTCAACTTCCTTAGTCTCTTCCCAAGGCTCAATGTAAAGTACTTGGACTGCACCAGCCTTGGATTCAGCATCAGTTCGGGCTTCAAGAGCAAGTTGTTGATCAGATTCAGGCTCCTTGGAAGGGCCTGCAGCTGACTGTTCAGCTTCCCTTGCTGTAGAAAGTGTTGATGACTCCTCTACGCCCTTTGCCTGTTTCCCTGCAGACGATAACAATCCTGCACAGCATGCCCAGGCTTTTGACAATGCAAGCACACGCGCAATTTGGATCTTCTTTCCCATTCCTTTTGACTGATGCAGAGGGCTTCCCAAGGCTTGGTAGAAGCGTCTTCCGGTTTCTCAGGGATCTTCGCATTCTTGGGGAGGTGTGCTATAATTCCCCTGCCCGAACCACGGTTAGGCCCCTTGCTTGAAGCAATCTTTTTTAATGCATTAAATTTTTCTTCTTCACTCACGTCAGACTCAATGGCTGATGTAGAACAGCCCATATTGGAGTCCGGCTCTAGATCGTCATCTAGAGACAGATCATCCGCGTAGGACTAATCTTCAGCTTCCCGATGTTCATGCAGGGCAAGCTGGTTGCCGCTTGCGTTGTGATTTGCCACCTGCAGCGGGTGCCTTTGTACGCCTGGCGAGGTCCTTGGCCTCCAGGTTGACTAGATCCGTTATGAGCTCTCGCCAAGTGGTATGGTTTTTGAGTCCTAGCAGGGAGAGGTATTCTTTAGGGGCCACTCCCATGACAACATCCATGCAAGACACGTCGGTCATTCCCAGGTTTGAAGTGGTGAACATACCAGTCAAGTGCTGTTCCAAAGCCTGTATGGAGGTCCTCCACGTTTGGCCCTTGAGGGCCTCAAGCTTCAGCCTTGCCTTGAGCGCAGCGTGCTTATCTTGGTACCGTGTGATGAGAAGGTCCTCAAGAGTGCGTACAGGAGTTACTTTCAGCCACTCAGTCAGGTCAATCCTATCATAACCTGCTGTAACAGCTTGGAGTTCTATGAAACTTCATACGGCGGGCTCAATATTTGTGCCCATGATCATGCTTCGGTCTTCCTGCGGTGTTCGCAGTACCTCGAAGTATGAGCGCATGGAGCTAATCCAAGAGGTGATGTCCCCTTTCCCGTCGTACTAGGACGGCAGAGTGGCCGCCCGCTTGTCCGCTACGGGACCGCTGTACTGTACGCCAGTAAGAACTGTGGCGTTTTGGCCTGAAGTTCCTGCATTTGGGACTATGACTAGTGCACAACTGCCGGCGCTGCCGCTTGAGGATCTGGCACTGGTTCCTGTGCTCGTCACAGTTCCACTTGCTCTCGTCATGAGGACTGTGTTAGGTTGAGAGACTGGGACTGCAGCAGGTCGAGGGTTAGGAGGACGGGGGGCAGACAGTTGGGACTGTTTGAGGCTGAGTATCTCAGCCTGCAGCTCTTGATTCCGCTGCTCCAGGGCTGTCACACGGGACTCAAGGTCTTCCAGGGTCCGCAGTCGAACCAAGGCTGCTACAGCAGCAGCTATCTTCTCTCGGAACCGGTCATCATTCGATTCCGGAACCGCAAGGAGGGTCACCTGTTCAGCAATGCTTGTGACTCTGGCTGCTGCCTCTGCCTCCCTTTCCCTCTGTACGGCATCGTCATAAAGCTTTTGAAAGAACGGTTTCTCGTTCTCGTCCGCTGCGTCCAGCATGGCCTGCCATTGGGCAGATGAGATGCCTGCCATGCTGGAGGAAGGGGTGTTAGTAGATCTCTCAAGAGGGGTCCGCTCTCTCCTCACGTTTGGACGAACACTCCTCTTGCCCTTCTTCACGTTCCCAAAAAGAACACCTTCTCTCTCCCTTCTCTCTCTTTCCGCTTCCTGCGCACGCGTCTCAATACCGGACATAGATAGTTCAGATAAAATACACAAACAGTAAATCACAAAGAGTAGAAGGTAGAACTCCTAGCCGGAGCGGCAATTCATTTGGACTTAGAGAATGGCACGCAGCAGGAAAAAAAATAAAAATAAATAAATGGAAGAGAGGACTGACTTATCGAACGGGCCCGATCAGATTAGCTGGAGATCCCCTCTTGTCTAACCTGACAAGGTACATGTACCACAATAAATCAGCCGAAGAAAACTAATTGCAGCAATGGAGATTTTGAGGGGTGCAGACGGTTGTCGAGCCAAACGCGGGGCAGTATGTGAGAACATGCAGTAAGACCAGTCAAGATCCCCTTGAAAGGAATGCCCTTGCTAGCCGTATGTCCCCCAAGTTCAGCACAGCAAAGAGATGCATTGACCGCAACAGATTTCGGCCCGAAAGGTCCTGTCCCGTTGGGCCTGGTCCCACTGAGTCCCGAAGGTCCCAAGTAGGTCGTGGACCAGGACCAACGAGATAGGTGTACCAAGTCAGTCCCAAACTGCCTCTACCGTACTGAACAGGAAAAGACAACTTTCAGCAAGAACTTACCCCTACAACCGTTCAGAAATGAAAAGACAATGCACCGTAGATAGATATGTCATTGAGAACAGATACATCATCCATCCATCCATCAGGTGAGAAAGCAATCCACATGCTCAAACACACAACCAAGACCGCAGGGAAGAGGAAGAGAGCCCAACACACCCCAACAGGCCATGAAGCACCAAGCAACCTCCCACGGGCATAACCAGGTCACACGGCACTTACCTGTGAGGCCCGGCCTCCAAAGATGGATAGCGACTCACCCCCCTCTCTCATCAGTCCTCCTGACCCATAGCTACCACTACACGAAGTGTCCTATCATGACTAAGAGGGCCTTCCTACACCCCTATTGCAACGCCGGATCCCCCGCCGATGTCTTAAGACCAAAGTAGCAACTTGCAGCTCTCCGATGCAGATATGGCAGCCTCCGATCAAGTCTCCCTCTTGAGGGGAAGCCCAAAAGTCACTCAATGTCTTCTTGAAGTGTAGATTCCAGGTGCGAGTACCTCTCACTCTCTACTCCCTCTCGCTGACTCCAATCAGCCTCCTTTGTGTCTCGCCACCCCATCCAATCACTCAAGCAACCTGGTCAGGTTTGATGTCGACCCTACATGACCTAACCAGGTGGGGGCAGTATCCACATACCTCACTGCCCCACTTAACCCTAACTTCCTAACCCTAATCCGAGATTAGGTTAGCCCTAACCTAACTCGGAATTAAGTTTAGGGTGACTAACACCTAACCAGGTGGGGGCAGTAAGTCCGCTCCGATACCAATTGTTAAGATCCTGGTCATTTCCAAGTGCAAATTCACAATGAAAGACAGTGCCACCCAATTGCGAAAGAAATGAAAGCACTTGCAAACAGAAAGAGACCAGAGGAGAGAGAAAGAAGAAGAAGAAGAAGAAGAAGAAGAAGAAGAAGAAGAAGATATGCACCAGCAAGAACAATGACAATTCCCCCTTCTCTCCCCACCTTCCTCCTCCTCCTTCACTTCGCCAATCTTACTCTTCTCCCAATAATAATAATAACAATGAATGGATGAACCACAATCAATATCCGAAATTCCCTCTTACTGCTGACTCAACAACAACAACAAGTCCACCATAGCTATGGCTTCCCTCCTTCTGCCTCCTCTCTCATGCAAAGGCTATGGCGGACTACTGAGGGCCCTGCCCCCCTGTCCAAAGGACAACCCAAAGCAGCTATGGCGCTGCACTCCTGTCCAAAGGACAACCCAAAGCAGCTATGATGCTGCTGACTGGTCCGCCATGCCTGACTCTGCCTCGAGCTTCCTTGGTGCGGCACAACCCCAACTGGGGCCTTCCGGATGCAGCGTCCAACAAGGTGATGAAGACGGTGTCCACCATAGCCAGGTAGGTGCCTCGCCACTCTCCTCCTTAG